GGTGAAGCAAATACTTAACCATCTTTCCTGTTATCTATTTTTAAAGCTTAGATGTATATCAAAAATATTCAAAATGAAGATAAAGATCAAAGTTATGTGAAACTAGAAAGTATATTTGCTTTTTCAAATAATATATTCACTACAATTCAAAACTGAGATGTCTGGAATATGTTCTATGTTAAAGAAAAGAGTACATTTAGGTTGTCAAATCATTCACAGTATGGAGTTCATGGCACATTGGGCAATGTCCCTATTTCTGAGCCAGAAGCTCTGAGTTTGAGTCCCATTTGATAACTGAGAAAAGTGCATTCATAATGTGCAATCTGTAATTCCTTTCAAAATTTGCCCATGGCTGGTGAAAAGTTAATGGCAGAGATTCCATGGTGGAACGCAGGACCAATGGGGAATTCCTAACAAAGGTACACAGGAAAGCCACAGACACTGACCAAGTACTGAATTTCAACAGCAACTACCCTAACACACACAAACGAAGTTGCGTGAGAACATTATTTAAACGGGCAACAACAGCACAGAGCTTGCCAAGAAGAAGAAGAGTACCTCTTCCAAGTATTCAAAGACAATGGATACCCGAAAAACTGGGTCAGAAGATGCCTATCACACACACAACAACAGGAAGATACTACACACCCCGACATACTCACCACGCTAGCTTACATCAGGGACACATCTGGACTGATCACAAGACTCCTACCACCACCAGGCATCACAATAGCACACACAAGCCCACATCAATCCTACGCCAACTGCACACCTGAACCAGATACCCACTACCCACTATGGACAGGACCAATGTCATATACAAGATTCCCTGCAGAGACTGCGACAAACATTACATAGGACAGACAGGAAGGAAATTAACCACAAAGGTACACAAACATCAATTGGCAACAAAAAGACACAACCAATACTCACGCATCTCTATCCACATGGATAAGGAGAACCACCAATTCACTTGGGACAACCCAGGATCCTGGGACAGGCAAAGCGGAGACAAGCACAGGAATTCCTAGAAGCCTGGTACTCCACTAAGAAAGCCATCAATAAACACATAGAGCTAGACCCCCAAATCCACTCCATAAAACCGGAAGTGAAGTAATCCAGCTCAACGGACTCCAGAGTTCAAATAACGGGTGGGAAAACACAACAGCGCTTCATCGGAGGCTGCATTGATGATATTACCCAGCAGGGTAATGAAACATCTGTGGAACAACGAACCAGCTTGGTGAGCCAACCAACCACAACATTCACAACCCGAGCTACAAATCTACTCTAAAATCTTAGAGATTCCTGATCAGCCATATGATGGAAAGAGCACCTCTAACATCACTGTCCACAGCTTCAAGCTGTCACACATATATAAAACATTCATGTTGCCACACAACATGGATTCTGAGTGAAGTGTAACAAACACATCATTCATTTTAATATAATTGATTGTGATGTTACTTGTAGAGACCAAAACTTGTTAATAAAAGGAAGCCAGCAGAAAATGAAGCCCTGACAAGAATTTCACATTATAAAACTTTTAATAACTAAAATTAACATAATCAAAGCACTAAGTAACAGGTGAAAGATAATCAAAGACATTTTTCACTTCAGATAGCTGATGCAGCAAGTCTAGCCCTCCTGTAGTTCCAAGTATTTGCATAATTTTCCATACTAATGGGACACCATGTGCAATCTCACAATAGTTCCAAATCGACCTTCACTACGTAGGATATTTCACTTCCCATTCAATTGTTTCAGCCTTTTTTTATTTAAAAAATATATTTTATTCATAAAATGTCTCTTTGTATATATACATTGTCACAAAAGCAGTTCGGTTCTGTAAACTTGCAGAAATACACAAAACACTGGACTTTGACTCTATCCAAAAAAACCAAAGACCTTTCTTACACATACAATACTAATCAAATATTTGAGGCTCTAGGAAGGTCCAATAACTAACAGACCCCTTGAGGCAGATTCGTCAGCAGCTGAAATTCCCAGAAATAATTACTACCACTATTTACAAATTCTCTCTCACTCAGGTTTATAGTACAGGTAGCACAGAATCCCTGGAGCCTGCCTTCTTATATACCCCTCTTATAATAGCAGCAGTGAATCATGTCTAATCCACAATCCCTTTTCCTTCCTGTCTTCAGCTCTCTATCCTTTCTAACTATATAGCACATACATTAACATAGTCACTAATCTATTCACAGAGACCTGCTTTGCTGCAAGAGTTTGTTTGACAAATGCCAAACAGAGAACTGCTCAATTCAGAAAGAACCTTGATTCTTTCCTCTCACACAAATTCTTAATCTCTTTTGAACTACCAAACTAAAATTATAGACTGAAATTCAACACAATTTTTAGGTTTCTATTTACCCTTTGCTCTTAGTTTATCCTCATGGCAATTTCAGGTAACATTGGTTTTTCCCTGGACCTTAGTGTCCCGGTTAGTAAGCCAATCAACCCTCTTTCAGAACTACTTCCCAGTTCTCTTGGTTTTAAGAGGGCCAAGACAGAGAAAAAAATACAGGCTTTTCCCAAAGCATGTGGATAATCACACATCCATCCCTTGAAAGAGAAAAGTCTTACTGAAGTAAAGATCTTTTGACATCCCTTTCAAAATACAACACATTTTAATGTCATAAACATCTTTATAGCCATCTTATTACACACTGCGCCAATAACGATTTTCCTTTGCCATATTATGCAATTATACATTATACACTGATAACACACTAAAGCTTAACTTATACCAAAGCCAACCACTTGTGTCAAATAGCTTTTCAAGTACAATTAGTGTGAGTTCTTAGAGTCCCTCAAGTTTCAAGTAATAAGGCAGTTTCAGCAGCCTTGGCATGCTTTCCCAAAACCACTGTAAGACGGCAACACCTCATTATAAGAAATCCACCCCTTTCCATATGTAAATTAGGAATGAACCCCACAGTCACAAAGCTGTTACCCTTGTCATTTTTTAAAGTAACCTTTTGCAAAGTAACAAGTGAACAATTTTCAAATACGTCCCTGAATAATATGTCTTTGTTCAGTGAGACTCCAGGAGAGAGTTTCATGTTACCTGCCATCATTAGTAATAGTGTTGCTGCTGGATCTCTAAGGAAAACAGTTAACATAGAACATAAAACATAGAACATAGAACATTACAGCGCAGTACAGGCCCTTCGGCCCTCGATGTTGCGCCGACCTGTGAAACCAATCTGAAGCCCATCTAACCTAAACTATTCCATTATCATCCATATGTTTATCCAATGACCATTTAAATGCCCTTAAAGTGGGCGAGTCTACTATTTTTGCAGGCAGGGCATTCCACGCCCTTACTACTCTCTGAGTAAAGAACCTACCTCTGACATCTGTCCTATATCTATCACCCCTCAATTTAAAGCTATGTCCCCTCGTGCTAGCCATCACCATCCGAGGAAAAAGGCTCCCACTGTCCACCCTATCTAATCCTCTGATCATCTTGTATGTCTCTATCAAGTCACCTCTTAACCTTCTTCTCTCTAATGAAAACAGCCTCAAGACCCTCAGCCTTTCCTCATAAGACCTTCCCTCCATACCAGGCAACATCCTGGTAAATCTCCTCTGCACCCTTTCCAATGCTTCCACATCCTTCCTATAATGCGGTGACCAGAACTGTACGCAATACTCCAAGTGCGGCCGCACCAGAGTTTTGTACAGCTGCAACATGACCTCATGGCTCCGAAACTCAATCCCTCTACCAATAAAACCTAACATACTGTACGCCTTCTTAACAACGCTATCAACCTGCCTGTCTCTTGAGATAAACCTGGGGACACTCACGATTAGTCAGAAAACTTTAATAATTTCTTGAATCCTAATTTATGTCATCAGTAAACACAGGAGACCTGTCAGCTTATTATAATCTTTACCTCTAGGCCAGTATTCTGTGGAAGATCACTGTGCAGGTGTACTGATACTTGCTTTTCCATGTACAGTATTCAGCCTTTGCCTGTCCATTGTAACAAATGAGTTCCACCAAATCAAAGTTAAAACCATCCAGACTTTCTTTTTTACAAACTTGAGGAGTATCTGTGTCTTTACCCTTTGTCATCTCTCTCAGCATTCTTTTCACTATCAAAATCCTCTCTCTTCAGTTTCTTTGTTAGCTTCCAAACTGGGGCTTATCACTAAAATGTTTGAGTCAATTTGTAATCACCTGTCATTTCTGCAAACCTGTTCTTCTAGGTGGGATCTTAATCCATAACAGACAATAATTTTATGTTTGCACAAAAAAATTTTCCAAGGTTCTCAAAGTCTTGTCCAGCCATCATCAATCTGGACCACCTATCATCACTACTTTCTCTTCTCTCGAAAGTTCTACAAAGGTTTATTTGGGTTTCTTTTCAAATATTTAAATTTCTATCTGTATGCTTCTGGAACTAAGTTTTAGGTACTGAGAACAGCATTCTTTACTCTGTCATAACCACCTGATTTCTGTTCTGAAAGGGATGGATAGACTTCCAAAACTTTAATCACAAAGATGTTCTGTAGGAGCTCAATGATCTTCTGACCATTTCAGTTTTGTGGCAATTTTATGAAATGATACAAAATTCATTTCTACTACTACTTCATTCAATTTTAGTACCAAGCAAATATTCTTTTACCAATCAGAAGTACAAGGTGTTGTTTCTAAACCATCCACACCCATAAGCAGAAACTTACTTATGTTGCTGGGATGTCATTTTTACTACTGAACATATTTTCAACTGTGCATGTTTAGGTCAAGGCAATGCCCTCACTCAGATTGTGTTCAGCATGGGCCATGTTGAAATTTTGTAGAAGGACAGCAGTTGCCATTTTGATGCTTTACATCATCTATCACCCTGAAATGGGCACAATTTTGCCACTTATGTTTAAGTTGTTTGAATAGAAACAGAAGTAAGAAATGAGAAAATATGATGTTATGTAACTTTTTAATTTGTATGTTTCTTTTCCTTGTCTTTCGAAAGGAACGTCTGTTACTGTCGTTGCTTCCTGCACATATTGCCATGGAGATGAAGGCTGAAATCATTCAGCGATTACAAGGACCAAAATCTGGTCATTGCCAGCTAGAAAATACAAATAACTTTCACAATTTGTATGTGAAGAGGCACACAAATGTGAGGTACTTTCATTTTTTCTTAAACATATGAAAATAGTACAAGAAAAACATCTTGACAATCTTGTAGTATGTTTTAAAAAGAAACACTTTGTAAAGTTATTTATTCATTTCAGTTGCTGATGATTATTTTTCATATGGGTTTTATGTCTTTACTTCCATGCATTAATTCATATATCTTGAAAACAGCAAACTATTATATCACTGTTCAAATTATTATCAGGATTAAAATAATGATATGCAGAATATATTTTTGAGTTGTTCTTTTGGGAGTTGGCTGGTCCATTTATTTCAGCTTTGGTTATGGTTCATGAGCCAGATGTTTGGATATCAGTTTCAGTCTCTTTAAAGTTTGAGGTAAGATTTGACTTTAATAAAATGGCAGGTCTGGAATTTTTGTACAAGTTTTATACAAGTGCCTTACCATAAGACGTTCTTGTATGTTTCTTTGGCAGTTCAACAATATGGTCCTAGGCTTTCTCCCATTTTCTAGCCTCGAATTTTGTCTTTTCCTTCATTTTCACAATTTGAATTCCTCAAGGGCCCAAAAATTCCAGTCAGCATTGGAGAGGGTTGCCAAACACTGATCGCAATTTACACTGAGCACTTATCAATGTGTGTTGGGGTCATTTCACCTTGCAATGCCAAATCTAGCAGAGATTCAGGGATGAATGCTATCAGGGGGCACACTGTAGGATGCAATTCAGGTGAAGTCATGTCCCATTTTCTCACAGGAAGACACTGATATTATGGTCTGTCTTCAGTTCATGGGCTTGTATTGTTTTAAACAGAGTTGTCAATCTCTGAAAGAGCACAACCCCACCCCTGAAAATACTGTTACCCCCTTCAACTTCATGACAGTGTTCACCCTCTATTTCACACCCTGACAGTGTTTGCCACTCCTCTCTCTTACCTCAACAATATTCAAATCCCTCTCTTATCCTGATGATATTCACTCCACTTCTTTTACCCAAAAGTATTCACCGTGCCTCGCCTCGCTCACCCGAGGCAAACAGGAAAGTGCTCAGCCCAGCCTTCCCCTTCCCACACCTGCACCATCTGCGCTAACTCTTCTGCAGCACCTGGAGAGGAGCCAGGGATTCTAGAAAGTGAGTCACGAGGCGGAGTGTGGGTGGAGCTGAGCAGGGGTGGGGTCAGGTGCAGTGTTGAGCATTATCCATGATATGGGACAGGGAGAGCACAATCTGGTGCAGCAAAGAGGACTGGGGAGAGGAGAGCACTAGTGCTGCTGTGTGAATGCTGTATGTGGTGTTGGGGGAGGAGCAGGTGGCCACTGTCTATGGTATGGGTGGAGAGGGAGCTTTAAGCACAGTCCAGAGACTAGATGGTAAGAACTATCAGCACATGAGGGTAAGCACTGCTTTGGGCGGTGGAGTGCTTTGACAGTAGCTGATTTGCCTAATACCCTGAGCTGGCTTTACACATACAATACAAAGCTCTCAGTAAATCTGCATAAAAACCAGAGTGTGTATTGGGCAAATAGCTCACGTCTGCATGGTTCTGGCCGTGATGTTGGACTGGTCCATGAAGGATGAAACCAGCAACTAGAAGTTCAAAGTTCTTAAGTTCATTCCTCAGGGTCTTACAACATATTACCGACCTAAATTAAGTCGGAAGTCACTCCTTTCAATCACCATTGCAAACCCCATTGATCCTAATGTTCTGGCAGTGAAAATCACCATCAGATTGCAGCCCTCACTCCCATTATTTTCAGCAACAATCAGGATCAATGTTGTTGGTCAGGCCTTTCAGCATCTTCAGAAATGCAGAACATGCCTGATATTGGAGTTCTGCTCCATGGCACAGTACCATCAGGGAAAGACAAGCTACGCTCCCTTTTCATGGCACTAAGTGCTGTATTCTGGAGAATTTTCATTCATTAACACACTCAAAATCTTTGGGCCCTTTAAACAGTTTTGTGTATTTTTCCATAAATGAGTGTGAGTGGGGCAAGCCCAAAAGGTTACAGGGTGGGCTGGGTGGAAGATAGATTGTTTGCCAACTGGATATATAATGTGGAGAGTGGTGGATGGGTAGGGTGGCAGTTCAGGATGGTACCTGATTACCATCCTTTCAAGAGCAATTAAAGATGGGCAATAAATGCTTCCCTTGCCTATGGTTTTCACATTTCCAAAATATTCAAATAAACTCTATATTCATCGGTTGTCAACAATGGAGATGTACAGATTGAAATATTTATGATGTAAAAAGCCAGCATGACATTCAGCTAACCCCCACTGTTTGTGTGTCTGCTTTTTGTGAATTTGCTTATTTGCGCAAAATTTGCCATACAACTTCTCGCCCGCTGTGAGTTCAGTCTTTGTTTTGTCGCACTTTTAAAACAGAGGAAAGTTTGTTTCCTAGCACAGAAAATATGCACTGCAAATATGCAGTCTGCAATGTTCTCTGTTTGTGAAAATGACTGTTTACAAGGTTTACGAGGAATGTGATTCTGGCAAATTACAGAACTTTACTGTAAATATAGTTTGCATATATCAGAGGGGACTGATAACAGTGAATTGACACCTTAATACTGTAAGTAAGAACAGTAACTCCTATGATTGTATGATTAACACAGCAAGTATTTACAGGGATAGTAGGAACTGCAGATGCTGGAGAATCTGAGATAACAAGGTGTAGAGCTGGATGAACACAGCTGGCCAAGCAGCATCAGAGGAGCAGGAAAGGTGATGTTTCGGGCCTAGACTCTTCAGTTTAGAATATTAATTTGATTTTATTATTGTCACGTGTATCTAGGTACAGTGAAAAGTGATTTCTCCCGTGCTTTATAGGCAGACTGTGCTATGCAATTACATCAGGGTATCAGAACAGAGTGCAGGATACAATGTTACAGCTGTTGGGAAGGTGCTGAGGGTGTTTAATATTAACATTAAAGAGGTCCATTCAAAAGTCTGACAACAGCGGCGAAGAAGCTGTTGTTGAATCTTTTTATACATGAATGCAAACTGTATACTGTATTCCAAGTTTGTGAAATGGACAAGATTGGTTTATTCTGAAAAGTTCACAACATAATAAACAATTGTGGAAAGGTAAAACTGCCCCCAGCAATAATAAAGAAATTTTCTTGCAATGGTAAATATCATTCATAAAAAGAGGACTACATTTTCCTACAGGTAGCAATGTTAAAAGTCAGTATTCCACTTTGTGGAAAATAGAATTAGATTTTCTGCTACAACATAAATTTCTTCTGATGCCCCTTTATGTTAATTTGCAATTAAATTTGTTTTGGAAAATAGATTATTATAAAGCATGATCAATGAAATATTATCCTGCTCTTTTTCAAAGTTTTGGCAAAGATCTGCAGCTCAGGTTGTGGGTGAGGTTGTTGACTTACTCGCCGAGGAGGCTTGTTCTCGTTCAGACGTTTTGTCACCATGCTAGGTGACATCATTAGTGAAGCCTCCGATGAAGTGATGTTATTCTACATGGTATTTTGTAAACCACGTTGGTTCTGTATATTGTGGGAATGGGGTCTTTAATCCTTGTAAGTGTTTGTCGTATCGTAACAAGAATTAAAGACCCCATTCCCACATGCAGAACTAACGTGGTTTACAAAATACCATGCAATGACTGCCACAAACATTACATCGGACAGACAGGAAGGAAACTAGCCATCAGAATACATGAACATCAGCTAGCAGCAAAGCGGCACAACAAACTCTCCTTAATATCAGTGCACTCAGGCAGTGAAGGCCATCAGTTTAACTGGGACAAGGTAACCATAGTAGCCCAAGTCAAACACAGACACGCACGGGAATTCCTAGAGGCATGGTTCTCCACCCGTAATGTTATCAACAAACACATAGAATTGGACCCCATACACAAACCCATACAAATCAAAAACGGAAATGACACTACTCACTACAACGGACCAAACAGTATAAATTCCAAGCGGAGTGGAATAACATCACTTCATCGGAGGCTCCACTGATGATGTCACCTAGCATGGTGACGAAACGTCTGAACAAGAACAAGCCAGCTCGGCAAGCAAGTCAACAACCTCATCCTGTTCTTTTGTTAACATGGTAATATATCTTTTGGGATTGCATACTATTGATATAACACAGCGCATCATCTGACTTGTGATAAAGAATGTGTAAGGTTTTCTTTGAAGGCAAACATGCAGGTTCAGTGGCTGGTAAAGAAAGCAAATAGTATATTGGCCTTCATAGTAAGAGGATTCAAGTACAGGTGCAGAGAGGTCTTCCTGCAATTATTGTAGGACTTTAGTGTGACAACACTTAAAGTACTATGTGCAGTTTTGGTCTCCTTATCTGAAGAAGGTTGTTCTTGCTATAGGGTACATACAACAAACGTTTACTGGACTGATTTCTGGGTTGGTAGGACTGCCGTATGAGGAGAGTTTGAATTGTCTAGAATTATATTCATTGACGTTCTGAAGCGTAGGCGGAGATCCTGTAGAAACTTATAATATCCTAACAGGACCAAGAGAGGGTAGACGCAGGAAGGATGTTCCCAGCGGCAGAAGAGTTCAGAACCAGGGGTCACAGTCTAAGGATACGGGTTAGGCCATTTAGGACTGAGAAGATGACATGTTCTTTTACCCAGAGAGTGGTGAGCCTGTGGAATTCGCTACCACAGAAAGCAGTCGAGCCAAAGCATTATATGATTTCGAGAAGGAGTTGGATATAGCACCTGGGACTAAAGGGATCAAAGGATATGGGGGAAAAGCAGGAAGACGCTATTGAGTTGGATGATCAGCCATGATCATAATGAATGGCGGAGCAGGCTCGAAGGGCCAATTGGCTTACTTCTGCTCCTATTTTGTATGTTTCTATTTTTTGGGTTAAATTTAACTTTAATTGTAAGACCTAAATCATTTATAGTTATGCACTGAGTTGAAAGAGCTAACCTATAATTTTATTTATTTTGATTAGTGACAAGATCCGTTCCAGGTATCATTGCGTTTTCAATAGAGTTCTTGTGGTAAAGTGTTAATGTCC